AAGCAATGGTTATCTGCTGCTGTGGAATGCAACAGGTGCATCTGGGATTGGTCTCATGTGGTTGTTTCTGATTAATGGCCAATCACAGTCAGCTGGCTCGGACTCTCTGAGAGTCACAAGATTTTGTTATCATTCTTCTGTTCTTAGCTGGGCTTCTGATGAAATCCTTTCTTCTATTCTTTTAGTATAGTTTTAATATAACATATATCATAAAATAACAAATCAGCCTTCTGAAACATCAAGTCAGGTTCTCATCTCTCCTTGTCCTGGCAGCCCTGTGAACACCAACACAGCTGAGGGCACCAATGGCCAATCCTCCTTTTTTAGAAGTGTCTGTGGAGCATAAACCACCCTCTCCAGCATTCCAAAGGCAGGGAAGGCACAGGGGGCCTCCCACCCCCGGTAATTAAGCGTTTAATTAGCAGTGAGCAGAGCACAAAGCCTGGGTGGAGAAAGCAGGGAACAAGGTTAAGATATTTCCCTGAGCCAGCACTTCTGTTCCGAAAGCACCCAGAGCTGTGACCTGCAATCACAACAGCAATTCTGAATATCAATTAATCTTACTTTAAGCAGTTCTCACTGCTGGGTTGTGATCTACATTTCAAGGTTTTCTTCTGCTGCACTCTGAATTTCCTCTGGCACCCAGGAGCAAAGATCCAGCCCCACCCCAGCCTGGTGGGCACTGCTGATCCTGAATTCACCCTAAATCCCCTCCAGTCTCTCCTCCAGCTCAAGCATTTGCCCAACTTTAGCACTAATTTATGAATCATTTCAGTCGACTTGAAAGTGGCCTCTGCAATATTTATTTGTCCAATATCCATCCACTCAGCACTGTCTTGCCACAGTTTCAGGGGTCTAATTAAATCACAGCCTGGATGGGGAAAAGCCATTCTTGCAGCAGGGCTGAGCTGACCTCCTCAACTCATTTATCCACTGATAACCCTCGTGTGGAAGCACTCAGCCCCCCTGAGGGAAAATCCACTTCACATCCCATTGATCCCCAGCTTTTCCCTGACTCCTTAAGCAGCTCTTGCTTTTATTCACTGATCAGAAATTACTTGACCAGCCACCAAAAAAAAAAAAAAATAAAAACTAAAACCACCAAACCAACGCTTCATCCACATCTCCCAGGGAGAGCCAAAGCTGTGAGAAATCACAGGAGGGGACACAGAGCCAGGGCAGCCCAGGGGGGTTATGAAAGGTGACAGCTCTTGCTGCTGGACTGCGTTTGAAAATGTGAGTAATCATCAAGGTGTCGTTTGTGTTCTCCCTGTGATCAAAGCACTGCACACGGAAAAACATCGAGTTTTGCAGCGGAGCAGAGGTGCTGGAGCAGCCCCAGCTGCCAGCAGGAATTTAACTCTTGATGGCCTCCTGTTCTGTGAGGATTAAACCAACCAAACAACAGCTGCTTCCCCTCCTCTGCAGCACCAGCAGGGCCTGGGCTGCTCCTTGTTAATTCTGCTTGGCATTCCCATCTCAGGGGCACCAAATCCTGCTCCCAGGCCTTGTGTCAGGTGCTCAGTGCACAGAAGAATGGAAGCACAGCAAGAACAGAAATTTTGGTTGGATGCCAGACCAGAATGCAAGAGAAAATAAAAAATGCAGCAATTCCCCAACACTGGGAGCACGGCTCCTCTCATTACAGAGGGCAGAACAAAAAGAAAATGTGGGAAAAGCTGTTAAAAGAAGAATTTTGTTCTCCCCTTTCCTCTAAGCCTTTACAGGGTTATGCAAGTTGACTTTATCTGCTGCAAATCCCCTTTCTGTTGTCAGTCCTTGGCAAGTCAAAGTCCTTAATTCTCCTGCACACACTGAATTGCTGGGTGGGTAATATCTGCTGCAACCTGCCCGAAATGAATCCCAGCTCCATCCCCCAGGCCAGATCCCAGCCTAAACCCAGCCTAAAGCTCAGCCTCACCCCTCTTATCTGCTGGGCACTTTTATCTCTGATTTCCTCCTTGGTGCCTCTGAAATTCAAAATGAGAACATTTGGGGCTTTTATTCAACCTCTCCTGACAGATTCTGTCACTATAGGACACGAAATAAAATGATGNAAACCCTGTGTCTCACTCTCTAATTAACTAATCCCTTCACCATTCACCCGGTGAAGCCCTCATCCTTGTCGTCTCCTGTGTAGGGTTAAAGTCCAGCTACCAGACACTTCTGGAACATTCCAGGAGTCCCGAGCCCCCCCAAGGGTGGTCTCGGAGGCTCATGATCTCAGGACTGAGATCTTGAGATCCGACATTCCCCGAGCAGCCCGAGCTGGGATGGAAGGAGCTGCCTCCTCCTGCTCCCTCCCATCCCCGATCCCTGCTCCTCTCAGGAGAGCACAGATAAAACGCATTCATTACCTCCCCTTCAGCAGGGGAAAATGAGGGGAAAGTGCTTGTTTATTAGATGTCGAGAAATACCAAAACCCTTTTAACTTGTACTCTTAAGAGAAAGGAAAAAGCTAAAAAGGTAATTTTCCAGGAAGCTCCTGTCACTGTTTGAAAGGAGAGAGTAAAGAAGACTGCTTTTATTATCTGCTTTATTTATGGTTACTTAATAATGACACAGACAAGTGCATTACTCGCTCACCACTTCCCTGCTGCTGCCTCTGGAAAGACAAAAGAGCAATCAAGTGTGGGCCTGTTTGCTAAAAGCTGAGCTCCACCAACAGCAGTTTTCCTTGGGAAAAATGAGATTTAACAGAGATTTCATGGACAGCTCCCTGATCCTGGACATCGGGGCAGCAGGGTTTGGGGAGAGAGGTCAGCCAAGATGAGGAAAGGGAAGAGAGAAATGAATTTTAGAAGATTTAGCCTTATTTGGAGGCTAAATAGTTAGATTAGCATAGAAATGACGAAGAAACATTTCAATAAATACATCTATACTCAGTCCTGAACAGCCTGGACAAGGGAGCACAGCCAGGTGCCAGATCCTGATCCTGGACCTTAGGGCAGCAGGGTTTTGGGAGAGAATAATGAATTTAGCCAAAAAGGGAAGAGAAAAGTGAATTTTCGAGGATTTCCTACCTTTTTTTTTTTTTTTTTTTGTGTGGGATATTGAGCATTTTTAAGCTGTCAAATGAGAATATGTGCCCAAGATGGGATTCACAGGGTTTGAGGAGGGAGGTCAGCCAAGAGGGGGAAAGGGAAGAGAGAAATTAATTTTAGAGGGTTTCCTACTATTTTTGGTGGGATATTTGAGCATTTTTAAGCTGTCAGATGAGAATATCTGCCCAAGATGGGATTCACAGGTGCTGTCACTTCTCCGTCTGGTGACAACTGTGGCACTCAGCAGCTGAGCCCCTGTGGCAGATGAGAGGATGTGCAGGGACCCAGGACAGGAGAGATCTGAGAGCAGGAGGTAGAAATCCTGCTCAGGAGTGTTTAGAAGTGTCTAAAATGTAAAAATCAACATTTATGGGGACAGAAAGAGCCTCTGCACGCATTTGGGTAAGAGCACAGGAGGAATTTCAGGGCAGGGGGAAGAAAGAGGAGCCCCAAGCAAGCTGCCTCAATCAGAAAAACCCTGATAAAGGACTTAGGGAGAGTGTAAAAGGGAAAAAAAGCCCCCAAAACACCTCAGCCCCATCTGTCTCTGCCACAAGCAGCCACCCTGGGCACTAAGGAGTTTGCTGGGAGACATTTTCCCGGTGCTGATGGATGGCATTTTCCAGGCTGTTATTAACTGGACTCCACCACTTTGGGCTGATCTATGGAGCAGCAGCAGCTTGAAAGCTTTTGGCACTGCAGCCGTGGATTAAGGGATGGAGTAAAAAACTGAAGCAGCTCCTCAGAGCATCCCCATCTGTCACGGTGTGCTCCGGGGCTGCAGGTGATGAGGAGGGAGGGAGGAAGGGCAGGGGCAGCACTTCCCTGCAAAATCTGCCCTCTCCAGGTGGTTCCAGGAGCTCCGTTTGTTTCCATGAGCTCCAAGTGGTTTCCATGAGCTCCAAGTGGTTTCCAGGAGCTCCAGTTGTTTCCAGGAGGGAGAAATTGGGTGACCACTCTGAGATGGAGAAGGGGAAGAAGGGAGGTGGGGATGAGGNATAATATATAATATATAATATATAATATATAATATATAATATATAATATATAATATATAATATATAATATATAATATATAATATATAATATATATTATATATATTAGATATATATATAATATATATAATTATAATAATATATATTTATAATTATGATTCTCTAGAGTGTGCTATTGAGAGTTCACCAATAGTGTGAGAGGTTTTCACTTTAAGACCAACCAAATCTTAGATCCACCATTTTTTCTATAAGAACTGCAGATTTCTAATAATAAAATGTCTTTCACGCCTTCTAAATCACGGAGTCAATACTAATTATTACCTGGCTGCTAGCACAAATTCCACCTCAGGAAAGTTGTCCTTGATCAAAATTCCAGCTGATAGCAAGCCCTGAGAGGAAAATAAGGATGTTCTCATGATGCCATAAGTTTTGGTTTTCATATTTTTCAGATTCTCTGCTGCCTCTGTCTGTGTGGAGCTCTGTGTTGGCAAGTTCTCCTCACAGTTCAGTTAGATAAATAATAATTTTCCAGCTTGAGAGCAAGGACAATTGATACCAACTCCAGGCCCAAAAAGTGCAAACAACAGAGAATTGAGGAGAGCAAACTGGGAGGATGGACCAGAAAATTTGTGGAAGAAGAAAAAGCCAACAACTTATCTGTGTATTAGGGGAGGAATGTGTCTTTATTCCAGATTTCTCAAGTGTGTCGTGTTGCTCCTTCCCAAAAAGCAGCACTCAGACAAACCCGAATAACCTGGGGAGGTTTTATTTCCTTGCCAAGGAAACTTTTCCCTTTGGTGAGTGTGACCAGGGGGTTACATTCAGCATAATGAGACAGAAGTGGGGCTCTTCACCTGCCTGAAGTTAAACATGCGGGTGCCAGTGCTGCAGGAGACATCAGCAATTCCTGATTTTCTCCATCCTGCCCTGTCTATCAAGGCTTCAGGAGACATCAGCAATTCCTGATTTTCTCCATCCCGCCCTGTCTCCCAAACTCTGCTGAGCACTGAGGTGTGATGGTGTTCACAGGGGTTCTTGAATTGGGGAAGAGATGAGGATCTGACTCCATNGACTGACTCCTCAGAGTCTGACATAGCTGATGGTGATTGGCCATTAAGTAAAAACAATTCACATGAAACCAATCAAACATGCACATTGTTGGATAAACAATCTCCAGACCACATTCCAAAGCAGCAAAACACAGGAGAAGCAAATCAGATAATTATTGTTTTCATTTTCCTCTGAGGCTTCTCAGCTTCCCAGGAGAAGAAATCCTGGCAAAGGGATTTTTCAGAAAATATCACAGAGCTCCAAATCCCTGCAGCTCCTCTCCTGCTGCATCACCAACGCAATGGGAATCTGCCCAAGCCAACAAAAAAACAAATCCTGACTGGAGAATTTGCTGGATGCAGAATTGTGTGCCAGCAAGGATGAGAGAACAAACAGAACAAGCAAAGCTTGACCCCCAAAGGCAGCAGCACCAGCATCAGCTGGGTGGAGGCGCTGACTCAGCTGGAATCCAAAAGGGAAAGGAGGGAAATCTGCATTGGGATGGGATGGATTCCAGCTCCCTCCAAAAAACTGGAATTCTGCAAAATCCGTCCTTGTGCTAAAGCAGGACTTGGGGCAGCTGCTGCTCGGGGAGGAAAGCAGATTTTAATTCCATAAAATTCCTTCTCAAGCTTCTCCCAGTCTCCAAATAAGCTTCTTGGTGAGTGTTTGAAGGATAAATTTGGGATTAATTCCAAAGAATCCTTGAAACACCCTCAGCACTGGAGGGGAAGCAGGACATGAGAGCAGCTCTTTGAAAACTTGAGCTCCCTAGTTTTGGAAAGAGAGGAAAACTTCATATTTTTCTTTTAAGATTAGAGAGGATGGACTGAGGGAAGTCATCAGGTGCTGAGCAGTAAAATTTTCTGTACTGGCAGAAACAACCAGAGGGTTAAAAATCTTCATGGGGACACCAGAGATGTGTCCTTATGCCATAGCCACAGAGGGAATTTGGTAGAGACAAATCATCCCATTGGTAAAAAACCACAATTATCCTGTTTTCCCCTCACTGTTGCCCACCTCAGTGAGATTTCCCAGCACAGAAAATGCTCATTTTGCAGATGACCAAAAATTAAGAGTTTGTTGCTCTCAGAGGGAGCAGAACCTCCAGATTCTTGGAAATAGTTGCTCAGCTGAGGGTTTTGAACTGCTCTGAGTGCCCCAGACAGGAGAGAAATGATTTTATACCTCGAAAAATTGGTAAATTGAACATGGGGAGCACCAGCAGATAAGTTCAACCCTTTTTTCAAAGGATGAAAAATTTGCTGTTCTGTCTCAGCCTCCCCTGGTGACCATCACAAATAAAATGTAAAATAAAACCAGAGCCATCCCTGAGTTTTCCCCCTCATTCCCAGTATTCTCCAGTGAGAATATTTGGAATATTCTATTGGAGAATATTTGGAATATTCTATTGGGAACTCCATGCTAAGGCTGCAGCTCGCCAGCACGATGAAATTCCCCAAACCCTTCCAAAACTCCACTGGGACAACTTATTCCCCCACCAGCCAATATTTCCCAGCATTTGTAGTTAGCTGAAATTACAAATAAAATTAATGAAAAAAGCAGGGAAAGCCACAAAAGTCCAGGAGATGTTGGGAAGAGCTCAAGCCCTGACATTTTGAGGCTGGTTTAGACACAAACCTCATTTTCCATCATCCCCTCTCTGTGCCCAGCAGCTCTGCTGGAAGGCTCCGAAAGCCTTGCAAGCAGGTGGAGAGAAAAGAACTCTTCCTCAGGGAAATTTCCTTCCTGACCCTGATTAATTGGAAGCTGCCTGGTGCCCTGGAGCATGGAGAGGAGGAAACCAAAGGCAGACAGGAAAGGTGCCCAGGGGGAGCAGCAGGTACCTGCCAGCTGACAAACTGGGGCTTGAAGTGTAAACCAGCCTGCAAGGGGATCTAAAAGCAGTTTAAAGTCTGGTTTCTGCCATAAAAACAAGACTCTTTCCTCCCTGGGAATCAAAGAGGGTTTCCTGGGCTGAATTTCATCTCCTCTGTAATGAAAATTAATCGTGGTGGTAAAGACAAGGAAAAGCTGCAGCTTCCTCACAGATCTTTGCCTGCCATGCACCATTTCCAGGGATAGGAAAAGATTTTAAATCATAGAAAATGTGAAGTCAGTACATGATAAATTATATAACTGTTAGATGTGATTAGATATAATTATTGTTTAAAAAATCATGAGAAGCTGTTAGGGGTTGGAGAGGGATCANGAAAAATCCTAAAGAAAGGAATTTCTAAAAAAGTTGTCTGCGACACTGAGCCATGAAGGGCTGCCCAAAAAACCCAAATAAAACCAAAGCACAGCAACTTTCTGGTCCACAGGCAGCAGCCACTCCAGGATTCTTCACCAGGAGAAGGAATAAATAAGCTCTGAGTGACAGAGTTTTTAACAACAAAATCATTCCATGGACAGAGTGTGTAATGAGTTCCAGTCAGAGCAAGTTATGGAGGAATAATTTTCCAGTACCTGCAGCTAGCAACCACTTCATGGGTGCTTTTTATTCCTGGCTTGTAAATTGATTTTATACATCATTTATCAATGGAGGCCTGGCTTTATAATGGGGATATTTTAATATTTATGCCTCTGCACCCGCATGCTCAGCAAACAAATGGGAACAATGGGACATGGTTGGTGTTACAAGTCCCTGCTCCCAGGTAAGGGTGATGGAGGTCTGCAAGTGCCAGATAAACACAGGGAAATTTGATTATGGGATGCATAAAGAATGACTCCTGTGCTGCTGGAGAGGATTAAAGAAGTGCTGAGGGCTTAAGTTTTGTGTTTTATTTCCATATATTGGCTTTGTGAGGCAAAGGGGGACACACAGGAGCTCCATGGCACACCCAGGGAGTGTGGGGGGATCCTCTCCTTGGGGCACTGGGGGATGTGATCCCACTCCTGGCGCTGTTGGATTGTGAGAATTCCTCCAAATCATGCAAAAAAACCCAAACAGCACAAACCCCTAACTCACCAGAGGCTGTGCCCCCTGTCCTGAGGCAGAATTTGGCTGTTCTGCAGCTGGGGGCAGCAAATTGTCCTTGCAGAACCTCAAACCTCTGCCCTGCCCTCACTCACCCCTCTCTAACTTTAATTCTCATTGTGTTACCTGCTGGGCAGCAGCAATCCTGAGTGTTTCCAACAAAACAAACCCAAACCATTTCACGGCTCTGTTTATTTTCACCAACTCTGTAAATAAAACCCCTGACAATTCCCTTCCCTCTGTTGCAGAGCACTCACCCAGGGCTCCTGCAGGAGGATCCCGTGCTGAACCAGCCAGCTGCAGGGATGGGGCATTAATATTCAGCAGAGAGGCTGGAAAACACATTTACTCCCCACTCACAGCTAAAGCTGTCCCTCAGGCAGCTCCTTAATCTGTGGTCACCGTGCTATTTACTCCCAGCAAGGAGATGGATGCTCAGAGCTCTCAAGCTGGTTCAGTTGCAAAATAAATTAAAAAAAAAAAAATAGACTTAATTTAGGTTTAATTCATGTGGGTGGAAGTGAGAACCACCTGCAGAGGATAGGAACAAACCCCGTGTGTTGTGGGGTGAGGATGCACCTCTGCAGGGCCATAAATAGAGTCACACTCCTGCTGCACTAATTATCTCCCCATTAATTAAGCTGATGGGGCAGATTCTCTGTCTTGGTAAATGCCTCATTGTTTATCAGTGCAGGCCCAACAACAGCAGGGCAGGAGCAGCTAAAACACTTTTTTTAAATTTCCCCCACCTTCCAGGCATCTCAGGTAATATTGATCACAGGTGATATTCATCTCAAGTAATACGAATTACAGGTAATATTAATCACATTCCAAAGCAGCAAAATACAGGAGAAGCAAATCAGATAATTATTGTTTTCCCTTTTCTCTGAGGCTTCTCAGCTTCCCAGAAGAAAATCCTGGGCAAAGGATTATTCAGAGAATGTGACTGTGACAGCTCAGAGATGGGCTGTGGGACAGAGGGCTCCAGGACTGAGGTCTCACCAGGTGTTTGATGTTTCCACAGAGAAAAATGAGATGTAAATCAGCAGGAGGAGAGCAGGAGCTCTGTTAAGCTCCCAGCTTGGTCATCGAATCCTCCTTGGTCTGTGAGAAGAAAAATCAGCATTGCCCTCACAGCCCCCACTCATCCTGCCCCTTCACCCAGATCTGCTCCCCTGTGAGCAGGAGAAAGCCAGTTTGCCCAAAACTGAGCTCCAGAGCCAGCCCACAGCAGTTTTCCTTGGAAAAAAAATGAGATGGAACACAGATTTCATGGAGAGTTCCCTGATTCTGGACCTTAGGGCAGCAGGGTTTGGGGACAGAGGTCAGCCAAGAGGGGGAAAGGGAAGAGAGGAATTAATTTTAGAGAATTTAGCCTTATTTGGAGGTTAATAATTAAATTAACATAGAAATGACAAAGAAACATTCCAATGAATAAATCTATATTTAGTCCTGAACACCCTGAAGAAGGGAGCACTGCCAGGTGCCAGATCCCTGCACATTTTTGTCTCTCCCTTTTTATTTATTTTTTTTGCCACCTTCCCCTTCCGAGGCTGATGTTTGGAAGGATGCACAGAGCCAAATAAATGCTGATAACTCCCTGCTGGCAGGGCAGGGGGTCCTTCCCCTCCTGGCTGTGCCTGTCACTTGTGATCCACTTGGACACGGAAACAATTTTGCTCCTGGATGGAGAGCAGAGCCTTTGCCTTGAGAGATCAGCCCAGGCTGCTGCTGATGCATTTGTGAGCTGTCACTGCTCCTGCCAGGGCCTCACTCACTGCTGCAAGAGCCTCCTGCTGCTGGGGGTGCCAGGGGGAGCCCAGCACCCCTGTGCCCACTGCCCAGC